TGTCAACAACCAGAAATGTCCCCGGATGTCTGTAGGGGGTGATGTCACCCGTTAAGGACCACTGTGCTAGGCTCTTGGGCCCACAGAGCCTGAAGACCTTAAGGTGAGCTTGCTGGGAAGTGCTCCTGGCATGATATGAATCGTCTCTTCCCAGCTTTCAGATAATTGTTCTTCACACATAAAACCACTAATTACAGGGTCACTGTGCTGGACAGACGTGCACTGAGCTTTACCAGGAGTCACAGACATTTAGCAGAACAGGCCCCTTAGACATTGCTTCGGCCTGGTCCGACCGCCTCATTTTCCAGCTGAGGGTTGTGAGGGGAGATGGTGTCTCTGAAGCAGACAGCTGGTTCCCGGCAGGGTGTGTCCGGTTAAGCGCTCTCTTGTTCTGAAATGGGTTTGAGGCAGTTAGTCTGGAGTCATTACAACTTCGTGAGCATCAGCTACATGCCAGGTACTGTGCTAGGCTCCAGGCTTTGACCGTGACCGACACTAGGTTCTGTTCTCGAGGTACTGAAGGTTTTAGTGGGCGGATGAGGCTGTGGGCAGATGACTACTGTGCGATGACTCAGTGGTGAGAGCTGGAAATGGTACGGAAGAGGTAATAGAAGGTCATGGGGGCCTTAGAATCTCAGGGCTTTGGGAAGTCAGATGAGGACTAGAATTCCCAGTTCCTGATCAGACGGAGGTGGTTGTACCCCCTGCACTAGCCCTGAGTTGTTGCTCCTAGCCAGAGGGGATGTGAGGCACAGAAACGACTGCCCACAGGGCAGGCCCAGCCAGCTCCTGGAATTACTGGCAGCCCGGGAAATAATGATGCAGAAGTGGGGAGCTGTGAAGAACACGGGGGAGAAATGAGCAGATTTCTAGCTAAAAGATAAGGCCAAAGATAGGACAGGTGGGCCAGTGGGAGGAATGCAGTTCCCAGTTGGAAAACGGAAGACAGCTGGAGCCTAAGGAAGAGGAAGCAGCAGTGTTCAGAGCCCAGTGGTGTCAGTGGCTTGTTGTTACTAGTCATCACGGGTCCTCAGGGAGCTGACTGCACAGGAACCTGAATCTGGGTCTTCCAGGTTGGCTGGATCAGGGCTCCTGTGCTTGGTCACGGGGAGGAAATGACCTTTGGAACTAACCTCCAGAAAACTTGGCAGAGTTCACGCCAGGCTGGCAGAGGAGCTGCTTCCAAGATATTTTAGATGCAGAGCGTCAACCTCACCCACAGTAGCAGTTCAAGGAAGGAGGCTTCCAACTTCAGCATCCTTCAAGCCCCTCCCCCTTCCTCGTGATTCACTGCAGGATCCAGGGAGACGTACACTGGAAAATACGGACCAGAGGGAGAGCCTCCCTGGCCTGGGTGTCAGGAGGCCTGTTTCCCTGCAGCAGGTGGACCATTCAGGCTTCAGGAGAGCTGCCCCAGAGTTGCTAGCAGTGGTCAGTTCTTTTCTCACACAGAGGCTGGGATGAGTAACTCACCAGCCCCATCACCCCTGCTCCATACAGACCCACTAACCTAGGCGTATAATTGCTCACATTGGTCCCAGACATAGAAGTCATGGTTGTGTCACTGGAATACCTAAATTTTCAGAGCACTATTAGGTACTAACTGAATTCCCATGCATGGTCTCTGAAAGCGGGATGGGAAAAATCCTATGATGCCAAGTGTATTAGTTTCCTGTTGCTGATGTAACAAATGACCACAAATGTAGCAGCTTAAACAACACAATTTATTACCTTCCAGTCTGCAGCCTGAAACAGTGTCATTGGGCTAAGGCATGGGTGGCGCTCCTCCCTGGTTGCTGTAGGAGAGAATGAATTTCCTTGCCCTGTCCAGCTTCTAGAAGCTGCCCACATTTCTTGGTTTATGGCCTCTTCCTCCATCTTTAAAGCTTCCAGTGAAGTCTCATCTCGGGGCCTTCTTTCTGCAGCCACGTCACCTTTGATTCTTACTTTTCTCCCTCCCTCTTCTGCTTTTAAGGACTCCTGTGATTACACTGGATAATCCAGGATAATCTATTTTCAAGTCAGCTTAAAATAGCAACCTTGATTGGAATTAGCAACCTTACTTCCTTCTGCAGCCTTAATTCCCCTTTGCCATGTAACCTAACACAGTCACAGGTTCTGGGGATGAAGAGTAGACATTTGTTGGGGGGAGCATTATTTTGCCTGCCATACCATGTCCCCAGACATAATCTGGGTGGTCAAAACCTAGAGAGCCACAGAGGAAGGGATCTGCCATTGTTTGAGTGCCTGCTGTGTGCCAGGCAGTAAACCAGGTGCTTTAGAGCTGACCTCAGTCTCCCAACCTTCAAGCCGTAATTTACCAGTGAGAAAATGCTGGCTCCCGGAGGCTTAGTCACATCGCTGGTGACTGTGGAATTCTCTCTGTCTGTCCTCCAGTCCATGCTGCCATCTGCTACCCTTTGCTCCTCCCAAATAGGCCTAGAGGCTTCAGCATATATATGAGCATGTGTCAGTATACGTGGGGGTGGGGGGACAAAAACACAGTAAGAGATCACTTTCTGAACTTGAAGCCAAGGAGAATCGACTTAAAATAGCAACCAGACCGGTGACTCATCCAGTGAATTGTGACTGTTCAGCTGCTGACAGCAGGAGGCCAGCAGGGGGCAGGCTCGGGCGACCCATCCAGACTAACGCACAGAGAGCTGTCATTACTCGGTTGATTTATAACTTGCCTGATGTAGGTCTACCTCTAGCATCCAATCAAAGCAGGATCTGAGTCATAAGAATGTCTCAGGTTTTTTTTATCCAGCCCTCCTGTAAAGGGAGGGCACAGGTGTCATGAGAGAGTAATCTTCCTGTCCCAGGCTTCACCCCTCCAACGCCTGGCTGGAATAGCCTCGGAAACTTCTAATTCTTTGTGCTCTGATTCTGTACTCACCAAGCACTTTGGCCTGATTTGATCTTTTATAGCTGATTGGCTCTCCTGCAAAACCACGATTTAAATCGTCGGCCAGGCCCTGATTACTACTGCAAGTCGATCATTTGACTCCATCTCGGGTGGCCTCTTCTCTCATCCCTGTCATTAATCCCTCCAAACCTTCACCACCCCGCAGCCCCCATGTCCATCATGGGCGCCTGCCTCTCAGGGAGGCAGTGCACCTCGTACTTCTGCTGAGAAGTGGACCAGTGAAATTCTTCACATTGTCTTCTCCCAACTTTTCTGGTTTTTTTCCCTCCGTTTTCAGCTTCTGGGTTGTTGTTTTTCTCATTTCTGCTGTTTTCTCCCATTCTAGTTTGGAATTTTCACCTTCTCTTTCTGTTTCAGTAGTTATCCTAAAGCTGTAGCATACATACTTAATTTGTCAAAACCTGAAGTTTATCAATAACTTTCCTTGTTCCCATGTTAGCTTAATTCCTTCCTATAAAAAAAGACACTGGTCCTTGAGAGTGACACATGGGGTTCTGTCCCAGGCCTCAAAGTTAAGTGATTCCTAGGAGACTGTGACCAAAGACACCTCCCTGAGAGATCTGGGGAGACTGGAGGGACCAGATTGTGAACTGGAGTCTGTTGATACTATGCATCTTTCCTCCCCCAAGCTGGGCCTTTGGAGATAAGATTCAGTCCCTGTCAGCACCTCCGATTTCTGCTAGTCCTTCCTCTTTGATTACTAAGTGTGTTAGTTTTCTGGGGCTGCTGTAATGAAGTGCCACGGATTGGATGGCTTACAACAACAGGAACTGTATTGGCTCAGGTAACAGACAGGCTGAGGGTAGGACTGCCTTGGGGTGAGGCTGGGTTCAAGGTTCACGTGATGTCAGGGACCTCATATCTCCCTTTCCATCTCTCAAGCCCCTTCTTCTGTGAGGGCTCTATTCTCAGAGAGGGTCTCCCCTCGCAGTGGCCAGACCACTGCCACAGCCGCTCCTCACATCTCCCAGAACCATGTCCAATGAGAAAGAGAGAGCCTCTTTTCCAGGAGCTTCTGCAGGGGTCCCAAGAGTTACTGACTTGGGTCACGTGATGCCCCGAGCCAATCACATGGTCCTGGAGAATGCAGAGTGGTGATTGGCTCTGCCCTTGGTCACATGCTCTAACTCAGATCACCTGCTCTGAAAGTGGGAGGATGAGGTTACTCAGGAAAAGATATTCCAATGGTGGGGGACAAGCCCGCTGCAGTGGTTTGGAATCTTACGTTCTATCAAAGGGGCTGTTGGATTATTAAGTAGATCAGGGAGAGAATCTCTAATGAAGAATATATCCTTCAAAAATGAGAAAAGATCGATAATTTTATGCTTAAGCAAATCGGACTGTACAGTATGGGCAATATGGGTGTGGAAAGGTGCAAGGAGCTCTAAAGCAACCTCTGATAGAAAGGAAATATCGCCTGCATGTTCCTCCAGCTCTACCTCTATAGGCCCACAATCTGTGAACACTTTGTCGGATATTTGCTTGATAATATGCCAAGATATATTCAACTGTGATGAGCACTTACATTTTTATATATCTTAATGTATTCACGTTTTAGACTTTTTCCCCTAAAATTGCTTGTGAAATCTCACATCTTTATTTTCATAGGCAGCTTTCTAAAATAACAATTAATGATTGTCTTTGAAAAGTCAAAATGTGGCAACTGAAGTACTTTTAATTTCCATTAGATTTTAAAGTGCATTTCTTCAACTTCATATCCAAGTGCCATTTTTAAACATGCCATTTATTTATTTGTTTGTTTGTTTATTTATTTATTTATTTATTTATTGAGCTTCATGGTTTTATTAACACAAGTACAATGTTCATGAGCTGTCTATTCGTTTTCTTCGCTGTGCAGCCTGGCATTGGGATTGGTGACTCTAGGGGCCAGCTGGGCTGCTCTCTCCACAGTGGCTTTGCAGTTCTTGGAGGAGACACTGAGCAATCTCAGCACAGTAAGATTTGTTGCACATCAGCAGCACTTTGAGCTCCTTGACATTGTGGACCAGGAACTTGTGGAAGCCGCTGGGCAGCATGTGCTTTGTTTTCTTGATGCTCCCATTGCCGATGCTGGGCATCAGGATCTGGCCTTTGAACCTCCTGCGCACTTTGTTGTCAGTGACTCTGGGTTTCTGCCAGTTCCACTTAATTTTGACATATCGGTCTGACTGGTGCCGGATGGACTTCTTGG